AGATGGCGCCCATGGCGCCCCTCCCCTCCAGTCTATGAATGGCACCATTTCACCTATCACCCCTGTGTTACCTCAGTGTAAATAATGAAGAGTAACCCAGGGCACAGAGCAGATGGGTTCCCTTTCAAGAAAGACCCAATTCCTGATGAGCTAATCCAAGAAGTCACAAATATCCCAGTTTGCTGCAGTTGAAAGAAAATAAGCACACAGTAATCAAAGAAAACTGGTCTCCCTCAGAGGAAATAGGCGAAGACCCTCAGTGCAGAACTCTGAGGTAAGTCTACTGCCTGGCCAAATGCAGCCCTGGACTCTCAAAGGCATCCCCAACTTAGAGAGTGTGATACCCACAGGTCTAGCCGGCAGATTCCTACTTCCAATGTGGAAGGGATGTCTTGGGGCTGCCAGCTGTCTGCCATGGTGTTTTCCTCCTAGACTGCTGGTATATGTCCTGCTATGACCATACAGTGGTTAGCACTGTGTGTTGAATATATCCTGCCCTGAAGGAGAAAAGGGGCTTTTGGGTGAAGGTTGACAGGACATAGAAAAACATAAGGAAGGAATGTTCTTGGGGCCAGGCCTGTCTGATCTGGTGTTAGCCCTTGTTACTTTTCAGCCCTAACTTCCTCTCCACCATGTCCTGATCTGTTTCTCATTTCCTTTTGCTTCCAAAGAAAACTCTAGAATGATAGCTCTTTAAAGAGCCTGAATTCATAGCAGGGCATGGTGGCACACGCCTATAGTCCCAGCACTCAGGGAGGCAGAGGCAGGCAGATCTCTGTGAGTTTGAGGTCAGCCTGGTCTACAAAGCATTTCCAGTTCAGCCAAGGCTATACAGAGAAGCCCTGTCTCAAAAATCAACAACAATAAATCAAAACAAACAAAAGATTAAAGAGCAAGGCCCTCACCTTGGCATTTCTGCTCAGAAGAGAAGGCAGGGACAGCTTACCCTCTAAATTTAAAGGAACTAGGCTCTAGCCCTGTGAGGTCACAAATACCTGTCCAACATTTGGCAAGCCATGGCAAGAGGAATTGTGAATTTAAGGACAGCCTAGATTGTACAGAGTGAGAAACTGTCTCAAAAAAGAAAGAGTTGGGCATGGTGACATTCACCAGCGATCCTACTCCAGTACTTGGGAGCAGAGGTTGGAAGATCTTTATACATTTGAGACCAATTTGGTCTACCCAGTGTTTTTAAACAAACAAACAAACAAACAAACAAACAAACAAAACCCTGGGCCCGTGGAGGAGGAGCACACCTGTGATCATAGCACTTGGGAAGGCAGAGGCAGGTGGATCTCTGTAACTTTGAGGCCAGCCTGGTCTACAAATCCAGTTCAGGACAGCAGAGGCTACAGAGAAAGAGAAACAAAACAAAACAAAAAAACCCCAACCATCAAAATCCCAAACCAACCAACAAAAGCCACGTATGGTAGTGATAGGGGTGCATGCTCTCAGAAGCAGGAGGATCCCTGAATTTGAGGCCAACCTGGTCTACACAGAAAGTTCCTGGGCAGCCAGAGCTACACAGAGAAATCCTGCCTCAAAAAGCCAAACAAACAAATAGAGTAATAGAATAGAAATGAAAAGAAGGGGGAAGGAAGATTCAGAAGATTCTAGATTCAGTGTCAGGATTCTAGGGTCTCTAGGTGGCCCTTTTCTTTCTTGCTCTCTCTCTCTCCTTTGAAACAGAGTTTCTCTCTGTGTAGCCCTAGCTGTCCTGGAACTTGCTCTGTAGACCATGCTGGCCTCGAACTCAGAGGTCTGCCTGCTTCTGCCTCACCCGCTGATACTAAAGGCTGCTCCTGCCACGCTCCAGCAAACCAGCTGAGAATGAAGTGACACCCTCCCCAGGACAGCCTACCCAAGGTCGGGGGTGTACAAACCCTACCTCCTTGAGCTCTGCTTTCTTGGTAGCCTTTATTGATAAAGGAAACAGTGTTGACTGTACGCTCCCCGCTGATCCTCCTCCCCCACAAAGTGCTGGGTGCAGAGGTCGGGGAGGGACTCTCCCAGGCAGGGGCTAGGTGCCCTTCTGAAGTTGCTCTCCCAGCCTCATTCCCAGAGAAGATGAAGGTGACTGATATCCGGTTTGATGACGGTGCTCTGAGTGGGAGGGTGTGAACTGTGCTAGGGAGGAATTCAGAAGTGAAGTTAGAATGACTGGGTCTCCACGCTGACAGGGCTTAGGGTGCCCCGGGCTCCTAGGAGTCATTTGAAGCTGGGAGGCCTTTTTTTTTTTTTTTTTTTTTTTATCTGGCGTCTGGGGGTCAAATGCCCTGGGAGCAGAGGACTGATGGTCCCCGGACCTTACCCTCAGTCCGTTTTCCTCTTAGGCAAGGAGATGCTTCCGGCGGCTGCGTCCCTCCTCCCCCACTCCTGCCCTGCAGCTGTTCTCCAGCTGCCCAGCCCCACCCCAAAGACAGCTGGGAGAGGCTGCAGGAGGGGGCGGGAGCCTGCCCAGCTGTTGGCTCTGCTTGGGTTGGGGGAGGGCTGTGACATGAAAGCCCCGCAGGCCAGGGTTGTGGAGGAAACTCCCCCCACTCCGCCCCCGAGCTCTAGCCCGGTGGCTCTGCACATCTGGGCCACAGGAGCCACCGCTCCCGGCCCCCCGGTCTGTGGAGTGGTGGGGGAAAAGGCTGTCATCCCCTAGCCCTTTCTGGAAAGGGGAGGCCTGCTCGCCTCTGAGAAGGGGTGAGGGGCACATGGCCTACCTAGAGGGCAGTGCACCTGCGGGGGACCCGAGGCCACTGCCCACTGCCCCTCTAAATAACCATAGGAAAGGTTCCTCCCAGTTTTCCAGAGCAGGCCTGTATCCTGGGGGGAGGAAGGTACTTGAGCCCTTTCTGGGCCCCCGCCGGCCCTCTGCTGGGAGGAGGTTGACAGCTGCTTCTACAAAGCCAGGACAGCTGGGTAGCTAAGGACAGCTGGATGGAGTTTCTCCCTGCTTCTTTGGCTGCCCAAACAGGCTCTGGGCCTACAGCTGTGTAGCTGATTGTTGGGGTGGGCTTTGAAGGGGGATGGGTTCCAGTCTGACTTATCCTCAATGGTGTCCCCTCCATGTCTCAATCTGGTTAATGCACCTGGAGAAAGGACCCCTCCTGTTAGCCAAAACAAACTGGGCCAAGTGGGGAAATTAGGCAGCTTTGCATCTCGGCTTCCAGCTCTTGGCGTGGAGGGTGCACCAGGGCTCCTAACAAACAAGACGGTGAAATCGGAGCAGATAAAGAGTCTATCTGCCCACCAGTATCCGGCTGTCTCAGTCTGCCCCCTCCCTTCAGCCCCACACAGGTGCAGGAGCCCAGGAGGCTTGTTGTCATAACTGGTCCTAGCTCTGGCTTCTAGCCAGCCTAGGGAGAGGAAAGCCATGAGGTAAGCTTCTAAACTCCCTGCTCCCCTTCTCTTGGGCAGCCCTCCAAGCTAGGGGAATGACCCTATCCTTTCTCCCCACCTGGCCCTTCTGTTTCTCCAAGAGGCAGAGTGTCTAGGGGTCAGCAAGGGCTGACACTATGTTGCCCCATCCCCACTGTACCAGGTTTCCTGATTCCACAGTGATAGGAAAAAAGAGAACTAGATACCAGCAAAGGTCTGCCTCCTAGTCTGGAAAAGAGGTACAGGTTCACTTTAAGAGATGCATGCAAACTAGGCAGCTGAGCCAGATGGGCTGGCACAGGCAGGAAATCCCAGCACTCTCAGGCAGAGGCAGGCAGACCTCTGTGAGTTCAAGGCCAGCCTGGCCTACAGAGAGATTTCCAGGACAACCAGGGCTACATAGACCCTGTCTTTAAAAAAGTAACCTACCAACAAGGCAGCTGAGCTGAGAACCTTTCAGAATGGAGAATCAGCCAGCAATCCCAGCACTCAAGATGACTTACAGGAATCTCCAGTTCAGGCCAGAATGGTCTCAAAAGTAAACATCAAGACTTCCCAGGAGGCCTTGGTGTGTTCCAGCCTTCAAGGAGGTTCTGTGCAGAGGACAGCCCTTCTTAAACACCGAGGTCTGTGATTGTCACCAGATTTAGGAATACAAACTCCTTAATTCTCATATGTAGGTCCCCCATCCCCAAATTACTCCTTTATCCCTTCCAGGGCCAAAGTCACAAATCAGTAAGAGAAGCCGGTGGGCCCTCTCCTTGAAATAGCATCTACTTTGGCTGAGCCTACAGCCCTGTATAGGGCCTAGCAGAAAGCAAGTGCTCAGTATTTGAGACTAGAAGGCAGGTAAAATTTGCAAGACTCAAAACGTATTCCTCCTTCGCCTATCATGGCTAGAAGCATATTGGCAGGACCTCAAAGAGATATGCCAGGGGTCTGTGTACCGTGGGGCTGGGCCTGGGAGGCCTTCAGCAAATATCTGTCAAATGACCCCAAAGTGAAGCGCAGACGTAACTGGTGCCCGAGGAACTGATCTGCACAGGTCTGGAACTGTGTCTAGACCCAGGAGAGCAGAATCAAGGCAAGGAGAACAGCAGCCTTAGATAGCCCCTGTGCCTAGGGGTGCCATTGGGTAAGAGGCAGGGCTGGGGCAGGACTGTGCCATCATGTTTATTAGAAGGTTGGATTTCAGTGTGTGTGCTCTAGACAGATCACAGAATAAATACCTGTGTCTCAAGAACAGGAAGTCCACGGTCCATACAAAGTGCTCACTATAGGAAGCTGCTGTGTCAAAATCCAGCTAAGGACCCAAGTCTGGGCAGCCCCTCCTCCACTGACCTCAACGAGGGCTGTGCTTGTGTTTTTATTTATTATTTCTTTTATTTATTATTATTAATATTATTATTATTTGCTTTCGCTGTGGTCACTATCATTGGCAAAGTTCTCTTTTTTCAACTTTCCTGGACATGGGGCTCCTGGCTTTGAAAGGTTCCATTCAGGCTCGAAGGTGCCAAAAGCTGCTTGAGATGCGACCTTGAACTCTGTCTGGGAAGATGGTGAGAAGGAAGCAGAAGAAATCATTCTTGGTTTAAAAAAATTAAAAAGCAAAACAAACAGAAAAACCCCTCCACAATCTATACATCATTCTTTACTCCATCAGTGATCAAACTGCCCAGACGAAAAACTGGAGGGAGGAGAAACAGGCCAGTGGGCACTGGGCCATCTCCCGGGGTAAGTGAGGCGAGTTGGTACCCCAAGGCTGCTTCTAGCCATGGGAGGTGTGAAGGGGAGAAAGTGGGATTAAGAAAAAGGAAAGATAGAGAAGTCAGTGACTTGAGTGAAGACACTGTTCCAACCAGGGCCACCTGCAGCCTCTGCCCAGGCCAGTTCCCACTGTCACCTCCTCATCCAGGAGATGCATAATTAAAAAAAAAAAAAAAAAAAAAAAAGAAAATCAAAACAAGGTCCTAAATAAAAGAAAATCCATAAAGATTTTGGAGGAATGGAGGAAGAAAAGGGGAGAGAGGAGGCTAGAAAGAAGGGCAGGTCTCTGGGTGCATAACTCCCGAGCCACCGGGGCTGGGGGAAGGGTCCCCAGCGTCCACTGCCTGCTTGGCGTTAGCTCGTCACATAGTGTTTGGTGGACGGCTGCCCATACACCCTGTAGAAATCCTGGTGACCAGGCTGCTGGGACGCGTCGAGCCAGTCTCTGACTGCCAGGCCAGGAAGGGACTGAGGGACGGAGGGTGTGGGTGGGAGTGGGTGGGAGTACTCCTGTGAGGGCACTGTCCAGGGGAAGTGGCCGGAGCGGGGGTACGGCTGGTGGCCACCATGGTTGGCCACGGAAGAACAGTAACAGTTGTCCACGGAACAGACGAGGATCTTGCGGCCGCCATACTGGGGAAGCATGGGCTGCTGGGTGGCAGAGCCATTGGGGTACTGCGACGGGGGAAACACAGGGCTCGAGTGGACTGGCTGGGCACCACCTGGCAGGGCCACCAAGTGCTGTGTGGAGCTGCAGGGCCCCAGGGGTTGCCCGGACTGGCCCTCGCTGCTGGCTGTGCCCGCTGCTGCCCCATACTGGCTGCCCACAGGGCCCGATGACGTTTCCAGGAAGCTGGCCTCCGGGAAGGCTGTAGAGTGCTTGCGCTTCTCTGCCCCAGAGCTGTTCACGCCGCACGGGTAGAGGGGGACGCACTGCAGGAAGGGCACCGGCGTGCTGAAGGGACCTGCGGAGAGTTTGGAATAAATGTTGCTGAAGCTCCCAGCCCAGACAACCCCGGTTTCCTCTCCCATGCGGGCCTGAAACCTCTATGGGTCCAAATACGTGACATCTTGGTGGATGTTTACGAATTTTATATTCCAGCTGAAGAAACTGAAGCCCAGAGAGGTAATGTGATGTCACTTGCCCAAGGTCCCACGCTAGAAGTGGCAAAGCCGAGGATGCGAACACAGGTCCACCTGTGCTAAGCTATCTGCCTCTTAGAGACGGCACTGGCATCTTCCCCTGCCCGGAGGCCTTTAACCTCACCTTCTAGCATCTTCCGCAACTGCTTCTCCTTCTTGGCCACCTCGTTCAGGAAGAGCTTGGAGTTCAGGTGGCCGATCTTAGGGGGAGAAAGGCTGCTGCCCGTGCAGGTCTGGGTCCTGAGGGCAGTGGACGGGGCGTGTGCTGTGAGGAGGCATGACCAGTGAGCCCGCCCCACCTCCCCACAGGCGGCATGGCCCTCGATGCCCTCCCTGGGATGCATTCTGGGGAGCTGGGGGCTATCAGCTCACCTGTCCATTAAGATCTTCACAGACTTGGTGTTCTGCAAGGAAAGAGAGAAGAGTCAGTCGGCGGGCGGCAAGGCAGAGCAGCTCCGTGCCCAAGTGCTTGCTATATTGTGGTGGCATGGCTTCTGTCATTTGTCTGAAACAGGGTCTCAGGTAGCCCAGGTTGGCCTAGAACTAAGTCTTAAAGATGCCCTTGAACTATCCTCCTGCCTCCACTTCACAGAGCAGAATTACAGGAGACTGTGGCAACAAGCATAGCGAAAGACCATGAGCTTTCATGTGTGCTAGGCAAGCAGCGTCCAATCTGAGCCCCAGCGCCGGCCAGGCAGTTTCTGGGAGAGTCCCACAGGGCCTTTGCTTTTTATCTTTTGAGACAGGCCTTCTCTGTGATGTAGTCCTAGAGGTCCTAGAATTCATTGTGTAGACCAGGCTGGTCTGGAACTCAGAATTCCATCTGCCTGTGCCTTTTGAGTGCTGGGCTTAATGGTGTGCATCACCCAGTCCAACAGGCCTTTGAAATCTGGGTATTTCTGGATTTCAGAAGGGGGCAGTGGTGTTCATATCATATTATATGTTACATATGATCCAGACAGGCCGCCACAGCCCAACCGGTCAACCCGTCCACAGTGACCTGTCTGAATTTTCTTACCACGTGAAATATGGAGACCACTAACTGCCCATGCCAGCAAACCAGTATTTGCTGTTAAATGAGGTGCCAAAATTGTTTCTTTTAATTTTCAGAGCTTAAAAACAAACAAACAAACAAACGAACAAACAAAAAAAAAACAAAAAACAAAAAAAACAAAAATCCAGACTAAATAAAAGACTGGTATGTCAAAACTCAGGAAGCATCCATGACTTGCCCAAGGTCACAAAACTAAGGACAACTGGCCAGAGTCTAGCCCAGGCAGGCCGGCTCCAAAGGCAAGGGGCAGCGGCCCCACCCGCCCCGCCCTACCTTCATGAAGCTGACATCCTCAGTCTTGTCGAAGAGCAGCTGCAGGGAGCCCAGCAGCTTCTTGGCCTCCTGCATGCGTTCCCCAAGGTGCAGCGCCTGCGCCGCGTTCTCGCTGCAGAACTTGGCTTGCGCCTTGTCCAGGACCTCCACTGTCTGCCGCAGGTCCTCGTCCAGCAGCTGGTGCAGCTTCTCGTACTGCAGCCTCACCTCCTCCTTCAGCTGGCTCACTTTCTCCTGCAGAGATGGGGACGCATGAGCCCGTGGACAGGATGGGCAGATGCCACAAGAGCATCCAGCGACCTCAAGCTCACATGGCTACCAACTACGTTTTACTTTTTTTTTTTGGGGGGGGGGAGGTTTAGGTTTCAAGACAGTGTTTCTCTGTGTAGCCCTGGCTGTCCTGGACTCCCTTTGTAGACCAGGCTGCCCTTGAACTCAGAGATCCAACTGCCTCCCTGAACGCTGGGATTACCGGTGTGCGTCACTGCGCCTGGCTCCAGCTCCATTTCTAATGCTAGGGTCTGGGTCCCTGAGGCCCCCAGCTTCTGAAGGTAAGGTGTGACCTGCCAAATCCCCATCCATAGCACTGGTTTGTGCCAGCCACTCCTAATTCCAGGGGGTGCCTATTCAGATACTTCATTGTGTGATTGACAGGTAGCTCTGGCACAGAGCCACTCAAGACCCCTCAAAAGGAGTTCACCCAAGACCCGGCATCCACACCACCCCACCTGGACTCAGGGCTTATTACCTCTACGAGGCGCTTGTCTGACTCGAGCTTGTACAGCTGGTCCTCGATGTCTTGCTCTCGCTCCTCCAGCCGCTCCTGCTGCTTCATCAGCATCTTCTGCAGGGACAGTTGGAAGTTAACTGTCAGTGTCTGACAGTGTCAGAGTGGGGTGCTGCCCCAACCTCACCAGCCAGGCTTCATACCTTCCTCCCTCTTGGTAAAGCACTTCCCAAAAGGTCTGCCGGCCGGCCAGCCTCCCCTGGCCCTCAAGCAGCCCCAGGACCAGCTATTTTCAGGAAAGGGAAAGCAGAGCAGCTTCCCTCGTGTAGTCAAGCCCTGAGCTTTCTGAGGGCAGGCTCTACACCAAACACTTGTACCCTGGCTATCTGCATCCATCAACTCATTATACTAGAAGGGCTTCATCTCCTCAGCCCAGCAATCTATGAGGTAGGTACTACATTATGATCCTCATTCATTCACAAAGGAAGAAACTGAGGCCTAGGGAGGTTTCACTACAGTCATTCGGCCAATGGTGCAGAAGGATGGCTCAGTGGTTAAGAATGCCGATTGCTCTTGCAGTAAGACCCAAAGTCTGGCTCCCAGCACCCATATCAGGCAGCTCACAGGAATCCCACTCCTCTGCCCTTCGAAAGCACTTGTGCACACGCATATACATAATTAAAAATAAATACATATATTTTCGAAGTTGTAGAGCCAATGAGTGGCACATACCAGGTGATGTGGCAGGAGGCCTGTGATTATCCAAGGTGATTACCTTTCCCTGGGGCACTATCTTAACTGGAGCACTAAGATGCAGAGGGCCAAACAGCCTTCCAAGGTGGCACAGGCCCTTGGTCTCACCTCATAGTTGCCTCACCTATAGTATAGAGGTGCAGCCACCCTTCCTTGTTCCTGGCCTCAGGGATCCAGTCCTTGCTGGCTATGTCCCTCAGCCCCTCATTGAGACCAGCAAAGAGAGAGCCTGATGCTTCCAAGCCTAATCTGCTGCCACATCAAGTTGCTTTTCCAAGCTCTCAAAAATTAATTAACCAGGGGTGGTGACACATGCCTTTAATCTCAGCACTTGGGAGGCAGAGGCAGGTGATCTCTGTGACTTCAAGGCCGGCCTGGTCTACAAAGGTTCAGAACAGCCAAGGCTACATACGAAGACTCTCTGTCTTAAGAAAACAAAAAATAACCTGTAATTAATTATATTCATTTTATTTTGTGTATGAGTGTTTTGCTTGCATATATCTATGTGCACCAGCTTCCTGCCTGGTGCTGGCAGAGGTGGGAAGGGGTTGGAACCCCTGCACAGAGAGTCATGGGTGGTTGTGGACTACCATGTGGTACAGGGAGTTGAATGCAGGCCCTCTGCATGAGTAACAATGCTTCTAATTTCCTATCTCTACAACCCTCCCTTCCCCGTCACCAACACACCTCTTCCAACAAGGTCTCCCTTGCTCTTGATGACGGCCTTCTCTCAAATATTTCGGCGCGACAAGAATGATCTTTTACGGAGCCGTAGAGCCCTCAGTGTAAGGTGGCTCAGGTGGGTCCTTCGGCTGGGCCAGGATGTGCAGGCGCCTGGAAGGTCCTGTGACCCCTGCGCCCCAGGCATCTCACCTCCAGGATGACGCCCACCAGGGCACTTCAATTCTTTCTGTCATTTTCTGCCAGCCACAGTGCCTCCTCTCCGTTCTGGGGCCCCTGTTTGTTCTGAGTAGGTACAGGTCCCTTCCTATCCTGGTCATGTGGTAGGCTGTCACATCCTGCCCTCCTCAGTAGCAGTGTTCTTCAGCGTAGCCGCCACCTTTTATATTGGTGTTAATACAAAATAAAGTAAGCCAGGAATGCCAGTATCTGCCTGTAATCCCAGCACTTGGAAGACAAAGACAGGAGGGCTGGAAGCTGGGGCCAGCATGGGCTACAGGGAAGGACCCTGAGTAGAAAAAAACTGAGCAGTTTTAGGTTCAGTTGCATCAGCCTCATTTCAAGCATTTAACAATAGCCACATGTAGCTAGTATTGGACCCTAAAATGCTGCCACTCTCAGGGAGTCACGTGACAGCTCTATCCTAGAATCCCCTCATGCCACCAGGCAAGTCCCCACTACTGTTACTGTTGTTTTTGCCACACTGAGGATGGAGGCCAGGGGCTTGCACACTAGGCAAAGGCTCCACCACCAACCTCCATCGTCAGCTCACGTTCTGGTGCTCTGTACTTGACTCACTAACCATGAGCTGATTTCTCTATAAATTCCAACCCTCCTCTCGCCCTGTAAAGGCTGAGGCAGGAAGATCACCGTAAGTTCAAGGCCAGTCTGGACTACAAAGGGGAGAAGAAAAAGAAAGGGGGGTGGGTGGGATGGAAAATAAGAACAGGTGTCAGCTGCTCTGGGGGAGAGAGGGAAAATCACAAGTTTGAGGTCATCCTTGGCTACAAAGGGGGACCCTGTCTCAAAAGAAAACCAAAAGGCTTTGTGGCTGCCTTCTGCTTCCCCCTTCATGGTCAGGCATCACAAAAGCCGGAGGACCTGGTTGTTGCTGAAAACGTTACCAGAAACATCCAGGGTTTGAGCAGGAGGATCTGCCGAGCAGCGTCCAGACACTCAGAGGAAATGTTCGTCAGCAAGGCGTGCTTCTTTTCCTCTGTGGGGGCCTTCCGTCTTACCACACAACCCCTGCTCACACCCACACCCAAATACAAGCCCTAACAATTCCTTCCTCGCCCTCATCCTTTTTCTATGGTGGGAAACCAAGGCCAGCAAGAGACTTCACCTGTTCTACAGACGTTGCTAGTCAAGAGACAAAAAACCAAGATGCTAAAGGCAGGAGTTGGGTGAGGTCATGCTCTCCTTGTAAGTAAGCCAAGCCTGGAGTTGTCCTAGCACAGGACAACTTCAGTGACCCAGCAGACCTTGCCCTTGTCAGCCAGAGTGGTCAGACTGACAATAAATACAGCCTGTATGGGAGCAGAAACAGAGATGTCTACAGTCCCGCCCAATACACACCTGAGCTCACGCACTGGGCCCTGAGACCCCTTAGCGCTCCCATGCTTGCGCCCGATGCCCTTGCAGGTAAGGCTGGGTCTTCGGAGACCCCAATGAAGAAGCCTGCATAAAAACATTCCTGGGGACTGAAGAGGCAGCTTAGCAGTTAAGAGCACTAGCTGCGTGGGTGGAGATGACCCACGTTCCATTCCCAGCACTAACAGGGGCTCCCAACCATCTGTAACCTCAGTTCCTGGAGGTTCAGCACATTCTTCTGGCCTCTGCAGGCACTGCACACACGTTAAAAAAAAAAAAAAAAAAAAAAAAAAAAAAAAAAAGCTTCACTGTGAACAGGAGGCCTTCTTCTCTCTCCTATACAACAAATGGAACTCAGACAGCATGCAGGCTGCCCATATGTACCAAGCGTCCCAGATACTAATCAGGGTCCAGGCCATCTGACAGCCCAGGCCCTCACCAGCCCAGACCTCTCAGCCTGCCCACGTCATGAATGATCAGGGCCTTGAACAGATGAGGGAGAGAGGCCAGGCAAAGTCCCAGGGGAAGGAGAAGACAAACAAAGATCCCAAACAACCTAACTTCTCCTGGGCAGGAAAGATTCTTACCCAGCAAGCCAGTGAGGACCCCTCCCCCCACTCCACTGAGGCCCTCAAGGAGTTTGATTGCTCCCCATCCCCCAACTCCTGCTCCTCTTAGGCATCCCCAGGAAGCTTCCCTCAGCTTCAGGATTCTAGTCTTCAGCAGAGGTTGGGTCTGGCCACCAGCTAGTGAAAACAGTAGTCCCAACTGCAGGTAGGGGGGTCTCATTGCCCCTCTGCCACCTCAGAGACCCCTGTTTTTTTTCAGGTCTGCTAAAAGAGGAGAGAGGGCAGAAAGGGGAGGAATGCTTCAAGGGTAGGCAAGGCTGGAAAACCCCCTCCCCCCAGCTTCCCTGCAGTCAGGGGCGGGCAGAGGTGCTACTTCAAGCACTATGAGGTCGGCAGGAGGAAATAGCCACCTGATGACTCTCCATCACACCCACACTTCTACCAAATCAAAAAATCAAATGGGCTGGGCACTGTGGCCAGACCTTTGATCCCAGCACTTGAGAGGCAGAGACAGGGGAGTCTCTGAGTTCGAAGCCAGCCTGGTCTACACAGTGGGTTCCAGAACAGCCAGAGCTACACAGTGAGACTCTGACCCAACAAACAAACAAACAAATGAATGAATGAATAAATAAATAAGTGAATGAATAAATGAATAGATGAATAAATAAATAAGTAAATAAAGACCAAACAAGCCAACCAGGAAGATGCTGGAGGACAGGGCTTAGGAGGCGCGACCATACAGCAACCCTCCTCCCTCCGAGCAGCCTCATTCTAGCCCAGGTTCTACCTGCCTTGGGGAAGGGGGAAAAAAAAAACACCACAGCTGAAGCTGGACTCTATTTCCCGGCTTGATGGCCAGCAAGGCCTCCCAAAGAGGGAGTAGAGGCTTTCTAAACCGCCTCTGGGCCACCATAAGGTTCCTGGACTGTGGCCCAAATTAAGTGTGTGGAAGGGGGAGCCATGTCTAGTCTAGAAGCGATGGAGGGACCAAGGGCTCAATCAGTGTTTCTTTACCTGTGAGCCTCAGGCATGCTGGATCTGCTAGGCCTGAGAAAACCTCCCCATGCCCTCCATGGCTCCAGGGTGCCCACGCATTGCAGGCCTGCTTCCACACCTTGTGCCCACCCAACCAAGAGGGGGCACTCAGGGGGCCTAACTTCTGCCCTGAGATCTCAGGTTCCTCTAGAGCCTGACCAGCTAGGCCCTGTTGGTATTTTGCTGCCAAACTAGACCAGGCAGACAGGTGAGGTCTGGGGAGTAAGGGCTGTGTAAAAGTTAATAAATAATAATAAGCCCTCAAGTCAACCTTGAAGAGAAGGAAGGTCGGGGGAGAATGGGCTGAGGGCCAGTTCCTAGGTTTGCAGGCCAGGCCGAGGCTGGATCCAGCAGCCCCTGAGGTAACGGTGAGGGGACAAAAAAAAGGGGCTGGCCTGGTGTAAAAGAACATCTCCTTGCTCAGGTCATCCAGCACTGCCTCCAGGATTCTGCTTAGAACCTCGTGGAACTTTCTTCCCAAGCTTCCAAGGCTGCCCTCACTTCCCCACCCAAGCCCTGATCCTAAGATCAAATTTGAACTGGCTCCATTGGCACAGGCACTTTTCTCTCCCCTCCAAAAAAATATCCTCCTTCCCTGCACAGTGCCTGCTTTGAACTACCTTGTGAACTCTCAAGCTGGCGAAACCACAAACCCAGAGATAAGGGGTGGTAGGCACAGGAGTCAGGGCAAGGAGACGGATAGCGCCTCAGCGATCCCCACAGGCCATCAGCGTGAGAGGGCTTCCCAGCTGCAGAGCCGAATTAGCTTTTGCTGCGCACAGAGCAGCCTCTGGGGCAGCAGAACAAAGAGGCGAGAGAGAAAGCCCCCCTTTGTCTGGGTTTGAATGCCAGGCTGGCCAGGGAGGAAGGCTTTCCCAGAGCCAGAGATGAGCTGGCCAGGCCTGCTTGCTCAGCCCAGGGCAGAGGCCCAAGTGGGGTGCCCACCCACTCTCCCCAGCTCTGCAGCATCCACTGGGGCCCTCGCTCACCTCCAACACCCTAACATGAATTCCAAGCTTCCCAAAGGTCCCCAGGTAAGAGAGTGACGAGCCCCTGGCAGGTTCGAAGCCTACCTACCTGAGCAAGCCCTTCATGAGCCCCAACAAAATCAAGTAGAGGAAATTCACTTTGCAGGGCTAAACAGCAAGGCAGGCACCCTGTACTGCACCTCACCTGACATCCACTGTCTCAGACATACACACATGAGCATAGACTTCTCTCCCTGACTCCACAGCCACACATGAAAGTAGTGCCTAACTAAGTCAGTCATTCGCACATCCTTTCCTGGAGATGCTCATGTGAAAAAAAAATTAGTCACAATAGACAGACAGACAGACCGATACACACAGGGTGCACCAGAACTGCAGGCAGGTAATCCCTAGAGAGTGTATGACAGACTCTTGGCTGTCAGCAGAATCCTGGGGTACAGGCAGGGATTGGGCCTCTGCCTGAGGCTTCTCTTAGGACGCAGGGAGGAGGCCAAAGCGGGTCCCCTTCTCTAAGGAGTCAGGATGATCAAGGAAAGGACACTACACAGCCCGCACACTGCCCACCCCCAACTCACACACACACAGAACTTCCCCACTCTGTCTGCTACTGGCAGAGGGTAGCGTGGGTGTGAGCTACCGGAGTCAGGCTTGTAACCCCAGTCCCAGCTCAGCAGAGATCTCTAGGCCTCCCTCTCTCCTTACATCCCCTCCAGCACAGGCACAGTCCAAGCGACAACAAATTCCAACAGTGGGCTTCTGTTCCCCAGAGAGTACCTCTTCACCGCAGGATGGAGGGTATAAGGCACAGGGTTCAGGCCAACATCTCCAGCCTGTTTCCAGAAGCACACAAACCATGCAAGCTCAAGCACAAACACCAGCAAAGCCCCTCACACACACGGCCATGCCTTCTCTTGGGTGGGCCTTTCTATGTTGATAGAGTTGTAAGAATGCTCCCAACTTCCATCCCTACCCCTATTACTTAGATGATCCCTAAACTTAGAGGCGGGAAGGGATTTTGACCCTCAGGATTGCTAGGCTTGAGCCCACCTGGATGTCTCAAGCTTGGGCCCACAGCCTGGAGAGAAAACACTTCAAGGGTACAGGTATGTCCCAGTGAGTGATCTTGAGGCTCCAATCTGGCTGGCACTCAGTCCTCTCAAAGGCAGAGTGGGGCAATGCCCTGGCCTGCACAGGCCTAACTCTGGAGTACCACCCCTTCCTGATGCCCCACCCAAGCCACTGGCTCAAGTACACAAAAGTGGGGGCTTGTGAGTGTTTGGGAATGGGGCTACACCAGGAGGCACTGAGCAGGGGCTGTTTTGTTGTTGTAGGTGGTGGTAGTGGGGTTGTTTTGTTGAGACAAGGCCTCTGTGTGGCCCTGGCTGGCCTGGAACTCACCATGTAGACCAAGCTGGCCTTGAGCTCACAGAGATCAGCCTGCACCCGCCTCCCCAGTGCTGGGATTACAGCTATAGGGCACTCCAGGCCCTCTACACACCTGGCAGTGTTAACCATTTTCAGCCAACTGGCCAGGACCCGAACCTCCTGTGGGAGGGCAGACCAGGAAACAACAAGCAGAACCGAGATTTTTATGGTTCTTTGTGCTGCTATACCTTGGAAAATTCTGGTGCCCTTTCCATAGCACTAGCAAAGGCCCTTCCTGGCAGACTCCTGCTAGCGAGAAAAGCTGGCTGAGGCAAAGACCATTCCTCCTGGATAGCCTAAAGAGAGGGCAGGGTTTTCCAGTCAGCTTCCTCAGGACTCAGCCCTTCCCCAAGGTGGGACCCCTACCTTTGCACTCAGTAAGTCAGACTCATACTTGAATGACATTGGGCTATTGAAGGGTTTTCAAGCTTAGTGCCCTGGGGCACCAGAGAGAATGGACGTGAGAAGCCTAGAGGAAGATGAGCCTGGGGCACAGATGCTGAGCTCACAGAATTGCACATCTGGCTCTAATGCAACTCAAGGCTTCTGAGCCTCCCCCATAGGCACTAGGTACACAAGCACACATGCATGCCATGATGTGTGTGTGTGTGTGTGTGTGTGTGTGTGTGCAAACAGACACACATATCATGGAGCTGCTGACAAAGTTAGTGCCTGGTGAGAGGAACCCCGAGGTAAAATGTGCAAGCAAATGCCACCCTCTCCTCCCCAATCCTAAGGCGAGATATATCCTAGGGTAAATGCAGACATACAATCTAAGGACAAACCCCCAATACCCAGGCAGGTGTGATTAAGTTTTCTTCCCTACCTCAAGACATGCCTAGCAGTTTCGAGGAGCAAGCACATGGAATGCCCAACATCCTCTCCTGTTCCATCCAGTCACATCTTCTTCTTTGCCCTCTACCCTCTTTCTACAGCCAACCCCAGGACAGAGAAGGGGCCCACCATCCTTTCCCTGTACTTCCCCGGCCTCCACCCCTACCATCTGTATTAATAGTAGCAGCTTCAATACTGGGTAAAGTGTGGGCTATGCCTGCCCCAGGTCAGGGGAGGAGGACCACAAGGCTCCTCCACTTCCCCAGGCCTTGGCCTTTTCCAACTAGTGGGGGGAAGTGACTCCACTTCTCCATCCCCCACACTTCCTTTAAGAAACCAGAGGCCTCTCCTGGCACAAAACCCCAGAGCTGGCCCATCCAATTGCAAACTAATTATACAGCAAATTCTGTTATCCCCGCCCTCAGCCTGCGGTGGCCCTTCTGCCTTTTGTTGGTTGTGTATGTATGGTTTTTAATTGCTAAACAGTGACTCATTTAGATTGGACCCTCCTTGTCTACCACCAAGGAAACAACCCCCATCTCCATTCTGGACAGGCCCAGCTTCCTCATACTGCAGCGGCCTCACCGCCTCCAGGGGCCCCCACCCTAAACACACACTCCTAGTCCTATCAAGCCCAACCTTGCTCCCTTATCACAAGACCCCTAGCCAGAGCTTTCAAGATGGCTCAGTCTTAGATCGACTCCTTCCGTGTGACTCAACCCCGAGAGGCAGGGGAGCCGAGAGGAATCTGGGAGGAGCCCCCTTCCAGTGAAAGGGACGGAAGTATGCCCCAGTCCAGTTCCCTAGCCAGGCCCGGAGGCCTAGGAGAGGGAAGGCGGTTTTGACATTGGCTGCTGCAGCCGGCTGTATACAATGGGAGGGGGTGCGGTTGGTAATCACCCGGCCGGCAGCCCAGGGGAGCCAGCTGCCTGAAACCAGATTTCAACGCGGCTCAACCTTAAACCCACAGGATTCTTTTTCCGTCTTCCACCTCCCCTCCCCAACTGTGGGAGGGCTGCGTACGAGGGCAGGGCTGAGAGGAAAGGGCCCGGGCCGAAGAAGACACATACTTTAAGGTTTGTTCATGCCAGGCGCAGTCAGCATACAAGTATTGAGAGAGCGGCCTCAGGCTGGGGAGCGTCTACTGGGGACTGGATTGGAAGAGCTGACAGTCGGGGGCTCATCTGGACAGCCAGGCCTTGCCCAGCTAGATACCAGAGTTCTGTGCTACCTCCGGAAGCTCCCCCCAACCCCCAATGTGTTTCCAATAGAGCTTAAAACTAACATGGCTGCTTTTGTTTACTTCCTCATTGGTATGCCAGCACCATGGATCATGCCAGCCACAGCAGCAGCGGCACCAGGACACTCATTACATAAACAGCAGCTGGAGAAGCAGGACCGGGGTCACTGCCTTGGTGACTTCCCGTAGAGCTCACAGAAACAATGCCGGGGGAGGGAGCTGCTCAAAACAGAAAAGCAACGCTCAAACTACTTTGAACAGCCTCCTCCAATCCCATAAATGACTTGCAAGAGGAACCCTAAGGGCACAGGTGCGAGAATGCGTCCGGCAGGCAGGCCCTTCTTCCCAGGACCTTAGCCCCCAAACTTTCACACAAGAGTTTGGAAGAGGGCTAGCGTCACAGGAGTCAGCTTGTGGGGATGGGTGGCCCCAGGCGGGGTGCGTGCGTGCGTGTGTGTGTTCGCGCGCGTTGAGTGTACTTGCCCGTATCTCATTTCTCCGGATCTCCACGTCGCACACCGAGTGTCCCTGATGCGCGCCGCTGTAGTAGCAGCAGTACTGGCACACGGCCACCTGCTCGGCCTCGCAGTGATACAGGCGGTAGGCGTTGTGCTGCGGGCAGCTCCAGGCCCGCACGTCGTCCGCCTCCACCAGGAGGTGCCCGCGGGCGGTGGAGGGCTGCTGCAGGTGCGTCTGCACGTGGGACTGGCAGCAGGGCGCCTCACACCGTAGGCAGACCTTCTGCGCCGGCAGCGGGGGGCCGCGGCGGCAGAACACGCAGTGCAGGGCGGTCGGCGGCTTCTCCACGTGCAGGGCGTTGAACTTCTCCACGATGTTGGTGAGCTTCAGGTTCTTCTCCAGGCCCGGCTTCTGGTTGTAGGCCTGGTTGCACTCCGGGCAGCGCACCAGGCCACTGTCCTTGGCCCAGGCCTCCCCGATGCAGCCCCGGCAGAAGTTATGTTTGCACGGCAGCTGCACGGGTTCCACGAAGACGTGCAGGCAGATGGGGCAGATGAGCTCCTCCTCAAAGCAGTTCTTCCAATTCTCCGCCATGGCGGCTGCGGGCAGGGGGCCCGGGGAGACCTCTCTGACTCCCCGAGCCTGGGGATCCGCCTGGTGCAGCCGGGAAGCCCCCGAGCCCGGAGCTCCGGTCCCCGCCGGCCCCGCCAGTCGCTCAGTCACCAGCGCCTTCCGCGTGCCCGCCCCCCAGAGGAGGGAGCCTGGGTCCTCGCGTCGCGCGCGCCGCCGGCTGCGTCTCCTCCTCCTGGCGAGCGCCTAGCGGGGGGCGGCGGGCTGCGCCAGGGCCGCGGCCGGGGCACCAGCCCTGGAGGGGAGCGCCGGGGTCCAAATTCCATACAACGGGCCGCCTCCCGGTCGGCGCGGCTACAGCGGCGGCCCGCGGCCTGCGCTCGGCCCCGCGGCTGACATCGGGGCGCGCCCCGCGGCGCACCGGGCTGGGGAGCCGCGCTCTTCCCTCGGCGGCGGCCGCGGCTCCCTCCGGGCTGGTCCGAGCCGCGCCTTCCTCGCCTGGCTCCCGGCCGAGGTCCGAGGGGCCCCGACGGCTAGTTCGGCCGCGCCGAGGCTGGCTGGAGCCGGAGCCGGCGAGCGGGGCGCACCGGCGGTCCCCGGGCCAGGGCGCGGGCGTCCCCCAGCGGGCCGGCCGGCTGCGGGGTGCGGGGCGCGGGCGGTCCGACTCCGGGGCGCTGCGTGCGCGCTGGGGCAGTCATTCAGATGAAATTCCAGTCCCCGGCCAGAGACACCAGCCCGCCTCTGCCTTCCTCCTCCCTTCACAAATAGAAACGGAAGGGGGAGGGAGAGAAGTGGAAAAAAAAAAAAAGGCGACCAGAGGGAGGGGGAAGCCCGGGAGGTGCTCCGGCCTGACCCCCTCGTCGCTACTTCTGCGCTCCCCGGGGCCCCGCGCAGGACGCCCCCGCCGCGGAGAGACCCCGCTCCCCGTCCCCGCGCTGGGCGGCCGCCTCGCCTGCGCCGGGGAAAACAAGGATTGATCAAACTAGAAAGGAATTTTTCTCAACTGCTAATGAACAGGAGGCTCGGCTCCCGGCCCTCCCCTCCCCCCGCCCGGCCCCCCCCCCCCCCCCCCCCACCCCCCCCCCCCCCCTTTCTTTTCTTCTCGGCCTCTGCTCCGGTCTGGAAGGCTCCGGGCTGCGGTCGCAGCCAGCCTGCGGCGGCGGGGCCGGGCCGAGCCAGCCGGGCCGGGTGCGTCCTCAGCGCCCAGCCATCTTGAGCTCCCGGCGGCGGCGGCGGGGCCGGGGGTCCGGGCGCGCGCTCGAGGGTCCTGTGGCTCGCTTCCCCCCTCCCTTTGGTGGGATTTTTTTTTTTTCCTCCAAGGGGAGGGCTAGTGGCCTCCAGCAAATTAGGAGAGAGAGAAGGAGGAAAATGCCAAGTCTTGATTTCTCTCCACCTCTGCTCCACCCATCCCGGTCCTTTCCAAAAAAATCTTTTAAAAAGATTAGAATTGGAAGAAGTCGGCAGAACGGCGAGCGCTTGCGGCCCCCAGCGCTGCCCGGGCGACGCGTCCGGGGCGGGCCCGCGCCCGTCGCTCGGTCCGTGGGTCCGTTTGTCCTCCCGCAGCTCCTCAAGTGAGGGGAGGGCGGGCACTCCGGGCAGGGTCTCCGCTGCGGCTGTCTCTTCAGAGCTTTATCCTCAGATCAAAAAAAAAAAAAAAAAAGAAAGAAAGAAAAAAGAAAGAAAGAAAGAAAAAGAAAAAAGGGGGAAAAAAGGAAGAAACCACCCCCCAGACCGAACACTCTCATCACAGCCACCTTCAGCCATCTTGCGTGTATTATTTCAAGAATAATCTGTTTAATAGAAATAGCTGCGTCTCTGGCCCCCTTCTCCGCATCCTGGGGTCCCGCCCCCTTTCAATAATAATCTCGATAATAAAAATGATCAGCAGGCCGGTTGGAGGCTGCTTTTTCCTGCTTCGGGTCTCCGGCTTTCTCTCCTCTAAGAAGGGGCACTGGGGGCTCGCGCTGGGGCCGGGGGTGCGGCCGCCGGGCCCCTCCACAGCGCAGGGAGGGAAGGGCGCTCCGGCCCCGGCCTGGGGCAGCACGGGCGGGGAGCCTCGGCCCGCGGGACCCACCGCGGGAGCGCACCGGGCGGGCACTCTGGTCTGTGGCCCCGGCTCGCAGCTGCCCCGCATACAATGGGCTGGAAGCAGAGTGAGGAGAGCAAGATGGGGGCGGGAGAAGGCAGGAGGATTGCGGCGCACAGGACTCGAGGAGACGGGTGATAGGAGAGCGGAGGGGGGCGGGGGTGTCCCCACATCAAGGCCGGTCCCGCTACTCGGAAAGGGGGCGGGGAGACGGAGGGGGAGGTGAGGAGAAAGCGGCAGGCGGTGCCTTTAATCAGCACCCGCTGGTTCAGCCCACCCGGTACTAGCGGAATAAACGGGGAGGGGGGTGGGGAGGGACGTACTTTCCGGAAGTGCTGTTACAGCTGCTTAGGTTTTTGGCCCCGCCCCTTTCCCCTGTCTGGAATTAGGGCTGTTCCTGAAGCGGCTTATGCTATTGGTCCCCACGGTGAGACTCCTCCTCTTCAAGGCGTGGCGAACCGTCGTGATCTCACGTGACTTGCACTAACTTCGGTACATTAAACATTGGGTGGTGAGGGAGGGGCTCGAGCCGAGCTTCTTAAAACGGCAATGATTCGGCCGCGGTGCCGGACCATTTTTTTCCTGGGCCTCTTCAGCCGTAGCTCTTTTTACTTGAGAGGAAAGAAGGGTTGTCAATCAGTCGGCTAAAGTGTCTAGAGGAATTGAGAAGGGAAATGCAAAGGTTCACCATGGAGCCGGATCTCTGCGATACTTTCCCTACATCTCTGAAGCTTAAAACTGCCAAGCTATTGATAAGGAAACTGACGCTTAAAGTACATATCCCTGGATTAGTTGGTCAGTTAGCAAATACACAGTATAACAAAGACCTCTGAAACCGGTGGCATTTTTCTAGGCCTAGGGAATTTCCTGGAAAATTACATTTTTTCATTTACCTAGAGGATAATTTCTGAGCGTAAGGCACACGCAAAGGCTCTAAGGCGACCCTTGAGCCCAGACCTGAATGTGCACCAAGAATCAAGCTAGTGACAGACAACCTGGGAGCAGTACTCTCATCAAAAGACAAAAACAAACGTACAAGCTTGAACGTGGGCAGGAAGAAGGCCTCATGGGAGGGAGAGAAACAAACAGGTAGGGACCAGTCACCATCACAGAAAGGAATTTGGACTCTAAGCTGATTGTGAGCCGCTGGGTTTGGTATATATTGGCAAGAGCCAACAAAACTCACTAGTGGGTTAGCTATGGGGCAGAGGGAAATCCACACAACAATAGAGGCTTCGAAAGGGACCAAGATGTGCTTACCATCCTATGTGTATCTTGCCAAGTATGTACATACGTGTTTATTTCCTCCATTATCTTGCACAGTGTTTTAGTTTGTGATGGAGGCAATTGAACCCAGAGCCTGGTGCATACTAGGAAAACTTTGGGCCAAGCTACACCCCCAAGCCATGCCTGTGTGTGCCGGTGTGTGTACACCTACAAACGCACCCACCCAGGCCTGTTGGCTGAGCTATCTTGCAAGCCCCAAGTCCTTTTTTAAAAGTATTAATTAAAACATATGTTTGTACATAGTTACGCTAACTAGTTTTATGTCAACTTGACATAAGCTAGAGCCATTTTGAAAGAGGGAAACTCCGTTGAGAAAATGCCCCCTCCAGACTGGCCCTCAGGCAAACCTGTGAGGCATTTTCTTGGCTGATGATGATATGGCAGGGCCCAGCTCAGAGCAGAGATGCCATCCCTGGGCTGGTGGTCCTGGGTTCTGTAAGGAAGCAGGCTGAGCACACCAGGAAGCAGCTCCCCTCCATGGCTTCTGCGTCTGTTCCTACTCCAAGTTCTTTCTTGAGTTTCTGTCTTGACTTCCCTGGATGATACACATGAAATAAACCCTTCCTTCCCCAAGCTGCTTTTGGTCAGGATGTTTCATTACAGCAACAGAAACCTGGACCAAGGCGATACTCATAGTGTCTAATATGATAACTCATGGACACATAGAGACGTGTAATGACCATCTTTTTCTGCTGCTGGGTGCGTTAAGCCCAGGGGTTCACTCACACTGGGATATCAGGTAAGTACACCATCACTGATCTATACTCACTCTTTTTTATAGGGGTGCAAGGGTGGGCAGGGCCTCATTAAGTTGCCCAGCCTGGCTTTAACCTTGATTTGTAGCCCAGCCTGGCCTTGAACTTGTAATCCTCCTGCCTCGACCTCCTGAAGAGTAAACAAGCTTGTGCCAGCAGGCCTGGCTTGAAATCATTTTGAAATGACTCCCAGAATGTGGGCCTCAACAAGAAACAATTTACTGAGAGGCCACTGAGTAAGAACAGGAGAATCAAGGAGCATTCTGTTTTCGTAGCAGCATTTTCTAAGTTACATGTGATCGGCTCAGAGAGCTAATGGCAACACTTGAGTAGGCGAATCTATGTACAGGCTCAGTGGGAAGTAAGTACTAGATGGATGAATGTCAGAGATTATTTTAAATTGTAGAACTAAGTTCCCAACCCAGTTCAGTGTGCTCTGAGTCCCTGATCCCTCGAGGACCGACAATGGCACAAGTCCTTAGTACTCTGCCGTCCTCCTTTGGGGGACAAGGGGACACATGAGGTAGTTCATGTCTGACTAAACAAAGATGGCTTCTAAGCCGTGTTTGCTAAAAGCAGGTGGACAGTGAATGGTGCATCTCATCAATGACCTCTGGAGAGTCAGTCTAAAGGATTCTTCTCATTTGGAAGACATTAGACTCTTCTGTTTCTTCTTCTTCTAACTTCTCAACTCAGTAATTCCCAAGCTGGAGATGTTGATAGTTCTGAGAGTCCAGCTCTCCACCCTCCTTGACTCCTAGGCCTTTCTTTCCTGGTGTGCCGATCTGAGTGAGTATCTCCAGACTGTCCAGGAGTGACCTCAAGCCTGTGGATCCACAGAGCTCACTGCCATGTTTCTTACAGGTGCCCTGAGCCCCCATGTTAGACACTAAGCTGCTCGTTCTTTCCCCATGCAGCTGGTTCCTGCTCCCATGTCCCCTCCTGCAGCTCCGGGGACAGGTAACCCCTTAAGCCATCCCCCAGCCACATACGAGAGACACAACCCAGCACTTCTACCTTTCACTACCCACCCGCTCAGTGAGCACCAGCTAGATTTTTCTCTTCAGGTTCAAATCACCACAAATATACC